GGGGGGTAAAGTTAATATTAGTATTGTCGTATCCACGACTCGCCTCGCCTGACAAGCCTTCTATTTCTGTACAATTTAAACGTGCTGATCTATGTCCCCAGTTCGAGACCGGCTTTCTTATTTCTCCGTCGACCTTCTGTATACTATCTATCTCTAGTTTCAAGCATGTCCCTACATGACTGGAGCTCTCTGAAGTTTCGTTATAAGCAACAAAGTTAAAACAAGATAAATGAAAACCTGAACACATCGGTTAAAACCGATCTGTGTTCCAGTTTTATTTGGTGCTTTGGGTTCATTATCCCCAAATAGAATGCGGATGTTCCCAGCACGTGGTCACAGCAAGACACCCAAGAACGTATAGCTACAAAGGAAGTTTTAATGGCTGACATCCGATGGTGACAAATGAAAATGTGAGGCATCGTGGTGAAATCAGGCGCTCGTCAAAATAGTGAAATCAAAGAAACCGGTATATTTTTGGACATTGGGGAATTCTTTTAAACAGATTTTCATTTTTAACTCCTTCACCTTTTACGTCCTTTTAAAAAACATTTCTAGGTATCTTTTACCGAAAAACAATGATTGAAGCCACAAAGGACACTTAATCATTGAAAGTCACCAAACTTTGGCGATCATTTTTAGGCTAATTTCACCTCTCCACTAAGCCACCCCCACCTCCTTCAATCACAAATTTCTCAACTTTTATTCAAGATACCCGGTAGATAGATATTTTTTTCTCCCAAAGCAAGACAAATGAATTGTCTTTGAGATTAGACCAATAGCTTAACATGCCCAAAACTTGACGAGCGCCTGATTCCACCGCGTCGTAACACGAAAAAGCTAAGATTACACGGCCGCCCTATTGATACCAAGATGGCCGCCGAGGGTGGAGCTATTATGTAATGTCCTTGAGAACAAGGTCACATTCTGCCGTTACAAGAAAATGTTGGGAGCACATATTATTATTATTACAATGGTTGAAATTACTTATGTTTTGTAGTCCTCATTTTGTCATTTTAAAGCGTTGTTGATAATGCAAATCACATTTCGAGAGTAAAAAGTAAACGAGGACTCCGCATTCTTAAAATAGATGCGTTAAAAGTGCACGACGTCACGAAGACCTACATACATAATGATGCCAAGAAGATTGGAAGCACTGTTGGTGCGAACGTTGTCACGCAAGTTCCAAATGGAGGAGAGAGGTATTGTTTGCTTCCCGGGAAGCCGAGAATGTTTCCGTGTGTTCTAGTAGGGTCTCCTGGTTGGTAAAGTACAAAGAGCATGCGGTAGGGCGTGGTTATGTGCTATAATGTTATAAATTCTTCTTCTTCTTCTTCTTCTTCTTCTTCTTCTTCTTCTTCTTCTTCTTCTT